ATTACCTTTAGCAAACAAGTGCAACTCACTGTTGATTATTTTGCATGTTTAAATATTATAGTCTGATTATTTGTAAACAAACAAGACCCCACACAAATACTTTTTTTTTTTTTTTTACTGCTCCAGTCAACGAAAGGAGAACTTTATTGAAGCCCCAGGGCCAAGGGGTTTGGGCAGGAGGCCACCCTGTGGGCCAAGAAGGTGGTGGAGGGGCCTTATTTGACCTTCTTGGGGAGTAGGTTGTTGGTGTGGCCACACTTCTTGCAGCAGTTGACAGCACGGGGATGCAGGCGAGCGTAACACTTGCGGCAGATCATCTTATCACAGTTGTACTTCTGGGCAAGCTGGCGGAGGGAAGGCTCAATGATACCACCTCGCAGACGAAGCACCAAGTGTAGAGTGGACTCTTTCTGGATATTATAGTCTGAGAGAGTGCGGCCATCCTCCAGCTGTTTGCCCGCAAAAATCAGACGCTGCTGGTCAGGTGGGATGCCCTCCTTGTCTTGGATTTTAGCTTTGGCATTCTCAATAGTGTCACTGGGCTCGACCTCAAGTGTGATGGTCTTGCCCGTCAGGGTCTTCACAAAGATCTGCATCTCTGCATCAGCTAGGGAGGCTGCTCCGCCGCCTCGTTGCAATACTCTTAATTCTAGAAAAAAAATCTGTCAACCCATAATTATTCTAATATGCTTTATTTGAACACATTGATTTCCTGAAAAGTGCATATATTATCTTACATAATAAGATGTAAAATGAGTTTTCATATTTTATACTATGAAATGTGCATTTCTGATATTTGTTTTATGCAGCATAAAGTTTAGATCAAATGATTCTAAATCCTGGATCCCCACAGTTCATTTAGAAAACACCTCCAACTTATGGCTCTCACAGCAGGTTTAACAGATCAAACATGAAGTGTTCTCTATTTCAAGCTCCCTCTATTTCAAGTATCAAAGACAAATGAGGCTCAAAAAATCTCTGTAGGTTGTAGCTGAAAATGCAAAGCTTTAGAAAACAGTTAAATATGTTTTGAAATAAAATGCTTAAGTGTTTATCTGTGTTAGGTTGATAAGTACTAGGACTTTAATAAAACAATTTTATTAAATCTGAGTATTTGCTCAAAAGTGATAAAGAACACAATTTGCTATAAATGGATGGTTTTGTAGAGAAATCAATCTTGATGTTTAAAACATTTTCAACATTGTTGACTCTAGTTTTGCTTTTGAATATTAATTTAATATTCAACTGAACGTAAATATTTGGCCTCACTATTAATAATGAAGAGACTTTTGAAATAGGAATTTTTTAAAGCACTGGAAAGAGA